GTTGGTGGGGATGTGGGAAGGCATAGGTCCACAGGCAAATGGAGCTGTCTATAAAACTTGTATGAACATGGGGCTGAAGCCAGATCTGCAGGAAGACAGAGATGCTTTCAGGACTCTAGTTGGGCCCACATCAGTTTGCCTGCTACTGGGGGAGTAGTAGGTATGGTTCTTGTCCAGGGCCCTGAGTGGATGGGGCTGTCTCGACATTCATGTGACAGTGAGGCCACAGTAAGTTGTTATTTCTTCAGGTTCTGCAGCCAGGTCCATAGTTAGTGGGCCTTCCACTGGAGATATGAGCTTGGCTTTTCAAAGCAGTTTTTCTAGTCTTAGGTTCCACCAGAGTGTCACAACCTTCTACCTAAATCTTGTAGCACTCATAAGGCACTGTGGTCCATGAATGGTTGATAAATTAGTTTATTTTCTATTGCTTATAATGAAATATCTGAAGCTGGACAATTGATATAGAAATGAAATTTATTTTTTACAATTTTTGAGGCTTAGAAGTCCACAGTCCAGGAGGCATATCTGGTAAGATCCTTTCTCTTGATGGTGACTTTCTACAGTGACACACGGTGTCACATGGTGAGAATGACAAGTGGTCTTTAACATGTTCCTTTCCTTTCCTTATAAAGCAATGAGTGCCCCTCCTGTGACAACCCACTATTAACCCATCAATCCATAAATGGATCAAAACATTCACAAGGTCATAGTCCTTATGATCCAATCACCTCTCTACGGCCCCACCCTTAATCCTGCCATAGTCTGATTTCTCACCCTCTTAACACTGTTACAATGGAGATCAAGCTTCACTGAGTTTGGGGGGAATGTTCAATCCACAGCAGTTGCCAAACTGATGCTTCTGTGAGGAGACAAAGGGTTGGGTCCTCCCATCTCTCCTTCTTGCTGACACCACTCTCCAACATTGGAAGATTCTTAATTCAGTTGAAATGTTTTTACTTGTGAATTTCCCCTGCAGTTTTTATTGGTATTTGCTTTATATTTCAACTTTTTATTTTGATACCAAAAATTATAACTTTATGTAAAATATTTACATTTCTATTTTTATCACCAATTATAGGCCATATCTTATATTTTACAATAGGAAGTTGTAAATATCTCTACCTTTCCACCAGTTTTGTTTCCTTCTTTCCAAATGCAGTTTGTAATGTCTAGATACATAACATTTCTAATTCTTTGGAACAATCAGCAAGTCATATTAATGTAACAAATAGTTTGATTGGGTAAGTTAGAAATCAATTACTCAATCATTTTTAAGTCAGCTTAGGATAAAATTTTTTATGGAGGAATCACAGAGCTAGAGGCAGGAACAGGGAGGGTTGAGGAAGGATAGTGAAAGGTTGATTAATGGACAAAAAAGTACAGTATGACAGGAAAAATAAGCCCTATTGATGTACAGTCAACCCAGAAATCTATAAATAGTAATGTTTTACTGCACGTAACCAAACAACTAGAAGAGGAGATCAAATGTGCACAAGACAAAGAAATGATTACGTTTTTGCAATGATGAATAGGTGAAATACCCTGAACAGATCAACACACACTGTACACATGCACTGAAATATATCTCTGTACCCCATAATATGTACAATCAATATGCTTCAGTAAAAAATTTAAAAAAAATAAAAGTGGACACATGTAAAAAATAAAACAAATATGACAATACTTCTTTCAATTTTTTAAAAAAAAATTATCATTGTCATTTCCTGTACTTCACTATTGCCTTTACTATTTCTTGTTCAATATTCTACTTGTACTTGAAGAGAATGTATATACTGTTGCTGTTGTGTGTCTCCTATAAATGTTAATTAGATCAAGTTGATTGATAGTTCTGCCCCAGCCATTGAGACACTTGATGAATTTCTTTCTAGTTCATTTATTAATTACTGGGAGAAGAATGTTTAAATCTTC